GTTGATTTGTATACTTAACTTGTGAACATTGTATTTTGGAAGTTTTTGAAAAAAATGCCAAACTGCACTTAAAAATATAGGTCGTATAGCCTTATTCAGGCATGAATTATTTCTATTAGCTTTTTATAACATTGGAATTAGTTTAAGATCTGCCCCTCACACTCCCCCAACCTGCACTCTGTGAAGCAGAATTACGTGCGAGTCTCTCGGAGGTTCTATGGGTATGTGTCAAGTTCTGTGTTTGCTCTGTAGCCACAGTGGGCATGCGTTGTTTCTGAAGCCCTTACTGTTGTCACGTCCACACAGAAATGCTTTCTTGTTCTTGAGGAATTCTCATTTGTACACACTGTGCTCAGAGCAGATTCCTTTGTGTCTTCTTTCCTTATTCCTTCCTTATACTCTCCTCTACTCACTTAGTTTTACTTCTAAATTTACATTTTTTTGTGAGCTTTTATATTTGTATTCATATTTGGTTTTATTTAATTTAACTTTTTTTTTTTTTCTCTCTGATCTTAGTTGAGTGTATAAGTTTAAGAGTACTGGGAACCATCTGAGACTTGTCTTCTTTTAAATTTTACTTCTATCGAGTCAGCAAAAGGTACTGATTGAGAGTATGGGATCTTGAGCCAGATTGCTTGGTTTGAGGCCTAGGAACATGATACTTAACTTCTTTCTGCTTTAGGTTTCTTACTTTGTTCAATGGGGTATAACAGTATCATCTACTTTAGAGATGCAGTGATTAAATAACACTGTTGAATTGTGCCTATCAAATGTTAGCTATTTGTATTTTTATGATATATGTGTGATTATATTTGATTTTTATAGGATATAATTCAGCATTTTTAACATTATAATTTTAAATATATTTGCATATATTTTAAGGAACCTTACAAATCTTCATTCCAGGATATAGCCTTCTCTTTTACTTATTTATTTTTTAAAGACTTTATTTGACAGAGAGAGACACAGCGAGAGAAGGAATACAAGCAGGGGGAGTGGAAGAGGGGAGCCGGATGCGGGGCTTGATCCCAGTACCCTGGGATCATGACCTGAGCCAAGGGCAGACGCTTAAAGACAGAGCCACCCAGACGCCCCTAGCGTTCTCTTTTAAACAGTAAGAATGACTCTATAAGCTATCAAGATAAAATAGTAAGTTCTTAATGTAAGGGTGATTGAGAATTAAAAAAAACAAAATCAATTCTCTTTCTCTTGTTCATTAAGAATAGTGTGTATTTCTTAGTGTTGTGTGTGTGTGTGTGTTTAGAGCAGCACTGTTCAATAGAGTTGTAATGCAATAATGTAAGATTTTCTAGTGACCACATTAGACAAATGAAAAGAAATATATTTAATTTTGTTAATATATTTTATTTAACCCTATATATCTAAATTTTTATCATTGCAACATGTAATCAATATGAAATTATTGAGCTATTTTACATTCTTATTTTTGCATTAAGTCTTTGAAATCTATTGTGTATATTCTACTTAACAGCACATTTCATGTAAGACTAGCCACATTTCAAGTGTCCAACAGGCTAGTGGTTACAATATTAGCATCATTATAGTATATAAACTACTTTTAATTTGTCCTCTTAGGTTAGGGAGGTTTTTTGATATTTTGCAACAAATGGTAAAACTAGATGCATCTAACAGGCAAACAGAAGTGTAAATTTGTAGTGGGAAGAGAGCTATAGGAGAGGTTAGGATTTGGAGTGATTAGTGAATATAGATGATAATTGAAATCTTGAAGTCAAGGACAGAAGAAAACCATAATATCCCTAGGGATAAAGCTCTAGGGAATTCCTAGAAAAGGAGCCAGGCTAAAATAGGGAACACACCTCATAGGCTGGAGGAGAGCTGCAAGTTGGTGGCATCCTGGAAACCGATGGAAGGGAGTTTCAAAGAGGCATGGTGGGCAGGACTGCCAAATGCCACAGTCTAGCAGAGAGAGGGGTGAAAATAGGTCATTATTAGCAAACCTTAGCAATGGCTGTTTCAACACAGTGATGGCTAAGTAAGCCATGTTGTGGTAGTTTGAGCATTGCTTGGAAGTTGAAGTAAAGGCAGTGGGTCTATATTGTTGTTTTATGAATCTTGGCAGGATAGTTGGTAGTGTTGAAAGAAGTGTGCTATTCATGAAGGAGAAGGAGCCAGTGGAGAGAAAAAGATTCAAGGTAGAGGAAAAGGTGAAGAATGGTGGAGCAAGTTTTTAGGAAAGTGATGAATGGATAGGGTTCAGTGCACAGGCAGAAGGATTAGTAATGGAACAGAAGAGGGTGAATTGTGAAAGAGGTGTGAAAGCATTATGAGACAGGCGAATTTGTATATAATAGAGTGGGTTCTAAGTTGTAGGCAACAGCTAGTTTAAGTTGCAGACAGCTAGCTAGTTTAAGCAAAAAGGGATATGTTTACACACTACTTAATTTCCAAAAGTGCCAAGAAACTAACCTTGACTATTAATAAGCTGGGAACAGCATAAGCCAAGGGAAACATCTAGTTAGCCTATTTTAGTAGAAAATCTATTGTCAGTTGCTACTTGGGAACCTGTGATATTAGGGATCATTCAATTAGACTATCTAGGTGATTGTCTCAGAGGAACAAAATGCTTTCACTGCAAGATTTGATCTACTTGGAGGTGGTCACCACCTTGACTTACTTCTGTTTTCTAAGTCTTACATGGATTTTTCTGTTTGTCTGAATCCAGGTCCCATTGAAGGCATGATGCAAATGCATCTGGGAAATGGGGTTTTTAGCTTTGGAGGAAGCTAGAGAGCATGCTAGAGGTGGACTGCAGCCTATGTGGTTCTGGCTCTGATCTTTCATGAATTGGAGTCAAGACTGACTCTGAAGATTTGAGCAGTCCTCTGAAGATTTGAGCAGCCTGGGTGAACCCTCTACAAGATGGCTCACACATAACCCTGTTAAGTGGATTCTGGCCATTTGGCAAGAGGCCATGAGGACTGCTCCATAGAGCTGTTTGTCCTCCTGATGTGGCAGCTGACTTCACGCAGAGTGAGTGATCCAAAAGAGCAAGGAGCTAGCCATAGTATCTTTTAGGACCTAAACTCAGAAGTCAGAAACCCTCACTTCCAGGGCATTTTGGTTTTTGTGCACTAACCCTCATGCAGTGAGAAGGAGCTACCAAAGTCATGAATTTCATAAGATGAGGATTTGGGGGAGCTCTTGGAGGTTGGCTCCCATGCCTCCCCACATTCCCCATTGCCTGACTTCCTTTAACAGCAGAAATTGATCAAAGTCATCTGTAGAAGGGAAAAACAACTTTAAAAAAATAGAATGAAACTTGCCAAGAATTCAGATAGAATGTGGTTCTGGGTTACATCTTAAGGTTACAAAGTGCACAGGATCTGCCAGTTTTTTAAAAGATTCAGAAATGCTGTTCAGTTACTTGTTCTCAGGCTTTCTTTTCTCAAGGCAGAGAGTATATCATAAAATCATAACTCAGCTAGGTGTATGTATTTTGATGTTTGGAGATAATGAGGTGGTGATACTTTGTCTTCCAGAATAGCTCTCTTGTCCTCATCTCTGAAATGAAGAGGTTTGACTAGCTGTCCCTATGGTCCTTTCTCAGTCTCCATTCCTTAAGACCCTGACTAACTTCGAGAATTGGAATGAACATCTCTGTGACATACTAGATAGTTGTAGGGCATTCTACCATGCCTTGGTCACACCATCTGACTTCTTTCATATCATATATTGAAATGATATTGCTGTTTATACCTCCCTGCATCCTTCCTCCCCCTCCCCAAATTAAACTCCAGCCAGGCAAATTTTGTCTTTGTTCACCACTGAATTCCCAAAAAACCAGGGCAATGCCTGGTAGATGCTGAGGGGATGAATGTCTAAAGAAATTATTTTTCAAGAAAATATACCACAAGATCATTATTTGTAACAGGCCATTTAGAAATTTTTAATTTGATTTCTCCTTTTGCTTGACTTATGTCTTCTCAGCCTTTCCCTTATCTTTTTTTATCGTTTTTTCCTCTTCTTTTTTGATGACACTCCTGCTCAGGTTTCTTTCTATGGCTGCAAATGTTTTTGTCTTATTCACAGTTGGTGCCTGCAAGGTTCTCCATCTTGATTTCTTTCTGATAGAAGCTATTTGGACTCTGGGACCACTGTGTAGGGAAATTCTTTTAAGAGATGGCATTTGGTAATCCTGTGATTTTGTGTTATATATTCTGTCTGGGAGCCACATTTCCTATTGCTTTGCCAGCTCCTCCTTTTGCTTGTCACGTAGGATCCTTTTTGGGTGAGTTACTATGTTAGTCTTGACCCCGTCAGTATTGATATACCTAAGGATTCTGACTTTAATGTATGTAGAACAGGAAAGTCACAATATCCACCCTTGGGTATAAGGTAAGAACTTGTTCTCTTCATTCTGCATGGCTTGCAGAGAAGTTAAGTTAAACCTGATCTAATGCTGTCAGAGAAAGTAGTGTTAAGGTATGTTACGGTATGTACCCCAGATACGGAAGTGTCTGTGTACCTCCATTGTTTCCCTGGAGTGAAAACCCCAGACCTGGACTGATTATCCCTATGTATTCCAACATGTCTCTGAGATCTTAGACTGTCCTCAGCAGAGGTTCTTAACAGTTTTTTGGATTATGGAACTTTTTGGCAAATCTGACAAACTATTGATCTTCTCTCCAGAGAGACATCCATTTACATAAACCCACAAATCTTACATATATCATTCAGAAGTACATAGACTCCACGTACCAAGGATAAAGACCTCTAATCTGAATAATTCTTCTTGTTTTTGAGTTAGAATTGATTTGGGAAGCCTTGGAAAGATTGGGGGTGGGGGAAAACTCTTACCAGGTAAGACTCCAAACATCTCTCTCCTTGGAGGTTCTTCTTCCGTCTTAAGAATCAGACTACTGGGTCATTCAGGTAAACTCTTATGCAGGTCAGGATTCAGAATTCCGCCTGGGCTTATTTTCAAAACAACGTCTTAATTATGTCCTTTGATCTCACAGGTATCTCTGCATTAGCCTGATTGGATATATGTAAAGAGAAAAATTAGTACCTCTGGATCATCAGGTAAGCAAATGGGACTTTGTTTTAATTTCTCCATTGATTCAGTCCTCTGTCAGTATGTGGCCATTTCCTATCTTCTGTTCTTTCTTTACTACAGTGTGGGTCAGTGAGATGATAAATATTTCTAGAGAAGGAAGCAGCCATTCCTGAGTTTTAGAAGATTACTTCATCTGCTGCTTGAAGTCAGTTTTCTTTATTTTAATTTTATCTCATTATTATTTCATACATTCACACTTCTATACCAGATAAAAATTCCCTGCTCTTCTTTTTATGTATATACTTTGGAGAGTTGTGGACAGCTCTCATATTGTTCCTTGGTTGTCAGCCAAGTTACACACATTTAACTCCTTTAATCTTTCTTTGTAATTCAGTCAGCTTGGCTGCTTTTTCTAGATTTTCCCCTATTTCATCTGCATCATTAAAAAACAGAGAAAACATGTTATCGCCTGGCTTCTTCTACACCTTTCATTCTTTTTATTTCCTGATTTTGCATCAGATTCCTTGCTGAACTAAAGCCAGCCAGGCATCATTCTTTGCACCACTTTGGCACGACATGAATGCCTTTTCTATAACTATCAGTGTCCCATGCAGTTATAGCATCATTGGTATATCCCAGATGGAAGAAAGGAAATGGGAAAGGAGAATGAGGAGCAAAATAATGCACTTTTAATTCTATGGCAGACTGGCCCTTGCCATCCATAGCAAATCATTGTACCTGAAACCTTTATCACAGGTTTTGTCCTCCCACAGGGTTGTGCACGATTGGTATATCCCAGATGGAAGAAAGGAAATGGGAAAGGAGAATGAGGAGCAAAATAATGCACTTTTAATTCTGTGGCAGACCGGCCCTTGCCATCCATAGCAAATCATTGTACCTGAAACCTTTATCACAGGTTTTGTCCTCCCACAGGATTGTGCATGATACTAATTTGAATAACGAGAAGCATGGACTGTGTACTGTTTGAAGTTTGGCCTTCGTTCTCACCCGGTTTCTTTTCCACACTCTCCCTCTCCCACCGCCTTTCCCAACAGTGATCATGACTTGCTATCAGAATCTGTGGCCATGCACAAAACTGGGTGGGGGATCATTTTGTTGGAAATTAGATAGGCTCAGGTGGTCATGCTCCACGCCTGTGTATGTAACATCTGAGGCAAGTGCTTTAGTTCTTGCTATTTCTGTAACAGTCGTTGGTCTTCTTTTAACAGCTGATTCAGTGGAGATGGGCAGGAGGAAGGGACTAGTGGACCTTTGGTGCTATTCATCAATGCTGTACTAGTTTCACAACTCTTTTCCTGTCCTGATGGGCAGGGAGAAGCATACTGCTTCTAGATGATGCTGAGCTTAGTGTAAAATATGCCAGCATGGGATCTGGGCTTGTCACAGTTCACTTTTTCTTTTCATTTGGTTTGTAGGAAATGGACTTCTACCTCTACTTATCTTGTGCATTAGAGAGAAAAAGGTCATACCTCTAGGAGCTAATGGCTTATTGGTGTTTTTAGTCACCAGATTCAGGTGGTATATTTAGTTGAAGCTTCCAACAGCTCACACTTGGCTTTCTCATTTGTGTTAGCTTTTCTTCTAGTACAGAATTGAATAGGATAGAAGAGACGGTTTTCCTGTTTGTGTCTGTGGTAACTTTCTAGATGATTTGTGGTTTAATCCTTTAAACATTTTTGATCATTTATCACCTCTTTCCCTGTAAAGGCATAAAATGTTCTGATTATACTGTTATAATCTTTTAATCAGATTATTTAAGTTTGGAGAAATCAAGGTCAGAATAACAGCTGACACAGTTGCCTCTGAATAGTGACCTAAAAATTGTGACACTCAAAATCGTGACACTTCTTTTTTTGCCTGATTTTATGGCCTTCCTTCACCTGTCAGATTTTAGACAAGATCATGTGATTGTGAATCACATATTTCTTGGTCTCAAGCTTCTTAAACAGGTGAGTATATAACCTGGACCCCTTTTAAGTCTGATTTTTAAAAAATGTTCATCCTTCCTGTGGCTTTCAACTGCCGACAATATTGTTCTCAAGCTAATTTCTTTAAGCAAATGATAGATTCTTCAGCATAACTTTTGTTTCTTGAGTCTTTTCAAGACTTGTCAAACAAAACAAAATGCTAACCTGACTTTAAGGGGAGAAAAATCCACCTCCCCCCGCCCCGTACTATATTATTCTTTGTTCTCTGTGCATCAAAGTGACAATCCCACACTGTCTCAATCGAGGGAGTCTAGCACAAAATAAAAAACAGCCTGGCACTGTTCTAGGCTGGCAGCCAAAATGTTTTGTGTAGCTTGGTTCTGGCAGTGGTTTTCATAAGGCAGAGGGTCTACCCTCCCAGCACCACTGAAGGAAAGCAAGCAGCCTTAGTCTTTCCTCCTTATCCCATTTCTTTTCCTTTGTTTTCCTCTTTCTTCACATAAAAAAAAACCAAAACAATATTTCTTAAATAGAAACTTCGTTCTCCTCACAACCTCCTCCACGTTTGCTAAGCAGCATTGTTCCTTCTAGAAGCTTGTGTTAGATTTCCCTTTTCCAGCTCTTAGAGATTTTCTTCACAGTTGCGTTTTTGCCACACTTCTCAGAAAACCCTTCTGAATATTGCTAACTTTGGTCATGTTGACATAGTGGTTTTGATTGGTTGGAATCTTGTCTCCCTTCATAGCTTATTATTTGAATGGAAACTTTTGAATGACACTTGCTTGTATTATTATGGATCTTAAGCCAAGATATCTCTTGTTGAGACCAAAAAGTCTGCCATTGTTTTCTATTTTTGTCTAAAACTCAGGGTCAGCTCATAGCTTTTACAGATTGAATACTCATTTTTAGAATGTCTGATAAATGTTGCTAGGCGAGCAAATGAACTTCCATGAAATATACAGGTGTGTATTTAAAATGTTTTCCTTTGAAGTGAAAATGCAAGATAGAACACAGTGTTTTTAGGTTTCCTAATTCTCTCTAAATTATATCTAGTGACCTATTATTATAAGGGGTGTGAAGATGTAGCATTATGATTTTTAAGTGATGATTTGAGCAGGAGACTAGGTTTTCACTATGAGCAAGCATTCTACAATATTTCGTAGAATGTTCCTCAAAATGTAAATGTGTTTGCTGTTGTATTAAGCAAAAACAAATGACTTTCAAGTGGTCTATTTTAAAAGTTAGTGTTTTGCAATCAAGATAAGAATAAATAGGCAGAATATGTTTTCTAAGGAGAAGATTGATATTATTTTGACTGATTTTTATTTTAAAAGGTTGTCAATGAATTTTGGCAATAAGAAAATTACTTTGGGAGGAAAAACTCATGAGCTTTTGTAATAGTGCAACACATGTGACTGAAGAAAAGTAAATAATGGCTTCTGTTAGAAGTATTAATGGGAAGAATTTTTATATGCCACATACGCTGGGAAATATATCTATTATGGAACATTAAGATCAACTTGTACAATCTAAAAGCTGTTTTTTTCTAGAGATCTATTTTTAATTTAGAAAATGCTTTAAAATCATGAAAAGGGTTTGTAAAACAGGTATAGGAGAATTATGCATTAAATAAACTCACCTGTTATTTTCTCTCATTCTCAAGACAGGTTCAGCAACATATTGGCTCATTAATTTAACAAAACAAACAAGTACTCACATTGCTTTGTATGTATAATGCACATGTTAATAAATGCTACAGTTATCCACCCCTCCCATGCTGTTTTTTTAAGCTTGTATTTAAGTGCCTATTTCTGTAGAGTAGCTAAGATGAATCTGGATGGGATGCTTGTTAAGTTATATCAATTAAATCTTTAGGTAAATATTTTATGTTTCAGAATTATGACATTTTTTAGAAGGGAAGTCAGTGAAACTTTTTTCTCTTGGTCCCGTTAAGTGCATGACTGTCTTGAATCCTTCTATGCCAAGGTGTGATAATAGAGACCAAAACTTATTCTCTATGTTCACATGTATTGAATAATGTTCATTGCATATTAAATACTATGCATCAACTTTAAATACATTTTCTCCAGTGGTATGATTTTTATTTGCAATTAAGCCCTTTGTCTTTTCTGCGATAGGAACGTATCTTTCAGTGACTTAGGCATTGCAACATGAATTGTTGTATTTATTTGTTTATTCCAACTATACACAGAGGCATAGTAGAAATATATTTAAGATCTGTGATGTTTGAGTATTTGAGCAGTTGTTGCTGTTGTTTTGGTAAGTGCTATTGAGTTTTTTATTTTTGTAGGTAATAAATTTTACAGTTTTGTTTAATTCTGAACATACATCAAAGCTTCTGTATCTTTATAGATAAATGTTACACAGTTTGTAGGAATTACTGTATAGTAACTTAATCATTATATTTGTAGCAACATGTAAAAATAGCATTATTGAAGGATGCCAGCAAAGTTGGATAAATACTAAATTTATTATTTTAACTAGGATTTTATTTTATTGTATTAAATATCATGTTTATAATTATGGATGGTGTTTCATTTCATTTGAATATCAGTACAGGTCTTGAACATTACTCCTGGGTAGGTGGTTTGAATATTTTGTTTGATATCAAATATTGGTAACATGTAAGATATTGATTTCTAAGTTTAAATATTAGTCATCTTTCCTTACACATATGGTACACACTTCAGTGTTAAATTTCGTTAGAGAGTATTGCATGAAAGTGTATGTGCTAATTCAGTTGTTTGATTCCCCCTCTAATTTTTGATACATTTTAATTCTCCCTGCTCGACATATTATCATTCCGTAGAATACTGTCACAAGTATGTCATATGTTTTCTGTGGCATCTCACACTGCTCACTTTTTATCCATAGTACCATATGAGTTCCCCCTTTTTCAGGTTTACACTGCATATTTTAAGCTGCTGATAGTGTAAGTACATTGTAAGGTAAAGTGACATTTAGCTTTTTGAGCTAGGCTCATTTTTAGCATGAGAGCAGGGTGGTTTTTGTTTTTGTTTTTTTCCCCCTTTTTCCTCTGCCCTAAATTTTCCTGT